TCTTCAAAACTGCACTTAGTTGGGCCCAATATGGGAGATCCTGCCTTTTAGTAAAGGAGTTCTTTCCACATACTTTTAGCCTTATGCCATATTTTGAATCGAATGTCATTTTGTGCTTTCTTATTCTTTCCTTATTCTTCTCTTATGGCCTACTACAGTGTCTTTCTACATGACCTGCAAATCACTGCCTCACATCGTGGAGGGAGGGCATGTTGGTGCACTCAGCTCACACATTCCCACTTTGCCTGAGGCTGATCAGCTGAGGGATGGAATGAGACAGTGTTAGGGTGAGGGTTGCCTACTGTGGGCTCAGTGGTTCAACTAGCAGAGGTGCTCCCAGGTTGTTAGGGACGGCCTCTTCTCTGTTCCTAAGAATGATTGTGAGAGCTGCCATTTATTCTCTGCTTTCTCTGGGCCTGGCACTCTGCTACTCTGCTAGGCTTGTTAAGCACTGTCTCAGTGAATACTGACAATGGCCGCGTGAATACGCAGGCGCTGAGAGGTTGCCTGGGGTCACATAACTAGAGAGTGGACTTGGCCCACATGGTCTGGCCGTAAGCCCTAAGCTCTTGACACTGCCCTCTCCTGATGCCCCGCCTCCACGGTGCAGGTCATTATTTTCCTATTCCTTCCTTGCAGTTGCCACCTGTCTGCCCTCTGCCATTTATGACTTGCAGGTGGCCTCCATCACACACTATATGAAGTGGGATGAATTGTCTTAGCTTTTTCTTGTGACGTTCTCTGTTCTTGGACCGCAGGGCGGTGTGTGTTGGGCTTCTGAGGGCAAAGTGGACCAACACCGTCTCCCCTTTCTGAGCTCTGTCCCTTGTAATCAGACCAAGTGTCTGAGTCACCTCCTCAGGCCACTGGCCAGAGGGCCCTCGTGCATCACCCGATGGTTCTCGTGAGGCCACAGGACAGGTCTGTACTTGCAGTGGACACGTGGCCTGTGCCAGCCCTGAGTTTCTGGAGCCATGGCTTGGCCTCCTCTCGGTGGCCTCTCCCTGGAATTAGGTAGCAGAGGCGCTGTGTAGGCCTCGGTGTGGCTCAGTGCTCCTGCCTCTACCTCCGAGAGCCCAGCTTAGCTGCCCTGCTCTGTGCTTCCAGCCTGACGGCAATTTCCGTCCCCCCTCAGACAGTCGGGCTGCATTTCTCACGCTCATACAGAAAATGATTCCTGACACACACCAGCAAGAGG